GGGTGAGCGCCGCGCCGGGTTCCCCGGCACTTCCAAGGCCTCCTGCCCCCGGGGGCTGGGGGCTTTCTCCTCCCCCGGCGGGTGAGGAGCCTGTGCTCCGCAGGGCTGAGCGCTTTTCGCTCGGGGTTGAGCGGGGCTGGTGCTCCGCAGGGGTGGGGGTTAGCCCGCAGGCATCAGGGGGCTCTGCGCTGTGGCTGTGTGGGGCCTGTGTGCCCCGGGGCTGAGGGCTCTGCTAGTCCCAGGCCTGACCCCCAGCGGGCCTGGGCTGCCGAGCAGAGCACAGGAAGGTCCGTAAGCCTTGAGTGAAAGGGACGTTAGACCTGCCTGCTGAGAAATTGCTCGGTAGATCCTTGGCTTGTCCTTGGTTGCATTATGTCATTTGTCTCGGTGTCAGTTTAAGGCATTTTGGCCCAGCGCTCTTACCACCCCGACTTACCCTGTCGGAACTGATGACATGTTCACTCAAACCCCTGTGTTCTGACCAGCAATTCTGATAATCTCAGCAGCCATTTGAAGCACAGGGAGTAGGTGCTGCTTCGCATTCATATCCTTGTTGAACTGCTTGGGCAGAAAGAGCACAGCTCTTTTCCTTTCCTGTGATCATTGTATTCTTTCTGCTGCTGCACCTGCACCACTGATTTAACGGTGTACCTGTTGGCTGCCTTTCAGACACGCTGACTTGTGGTTTCTCTTTCGGTAGCAATTGTTTGTTTCGGGCCCTGGGTGACCAGCTCGAGGGGCACTCGCGGAACCACCTCAGACATCGCCAGGAAACGGTGGATTACATGATAAAGCAGCGTGAGGATTTTGAGCCTTTTGTGGAGGACGATGTGCCCTTTGAGAAACACGGTATGATCTCTGGAGGATGCTAATGGAAGGGGTTAGTGTGTGATGTGTTTAGGTCTTGTTTGAGCACCTTCTTACTGAGCAGTTCCTCATCCCAGAACGATGTCAGGGATCCTCTCTTTAGAAACAGAGAGTTTACATCTCTCTCTGTTGTGTTTCTGTAGAGAGATGAGCTATTAAAGCTGTATTGTATTTGTCTTGGAAATTTAGGAGAAACTTGGAGAAGGAAAGAGAGGCAAAAAAAGGCAAGGAGTAAAAAATTTGGTGTTTTCAAAAGACACTTGCAAAAATTGCCTAGCTCTCTGTGAATGCTGGTGAGCGTTGAGTGGCTGATTTCTTTGGGTGTCTTTTTCTCCTTGACGCTTGCTATTTCATGGTGGTAACCCAGGGGAAGATCCAAAGCAGCCTGATACAGCCTTTGTTCTAACAGCTTTGAGGATGTGCCAAGTACCGTGCAGGTGACACATGGAAGTGGTTTGGTCATTTAGTGTGTGGCACTCGTCCTTCCGAGCTAACACAGAGCTGACAGCCTTGCATAACCTAGGGTGTACTGCCTTTTTCAGATGTTCCTGTGGTTGTTTAACACACCTTAACTTCTGTTGCTGCCAAGTTCTCGCCTCAGCAGTCGCTGTTCACAGTTGGGATTTCCTTTCCAGAATTTCTTGAGCTTGCGTTGAAATTTTTGTACTCGCTATATCCCTGCAGTGCTTTTGGAATTGTCAGAAACCAGGTTTCCAACTCTTCTGAATGTTTTTTCCTTTAGTTACCAATTTGGCAAAGCCTGGCACCTTTGCTGGCAACGATGCTATTGTGGCCTTTGCAAGGAACAATCAAATGAATGTGGTTATTCATCAGCTTAATGCTCCGCTGTGGCAGGTGAGAAACAAAACTTCTATACTTTGGCCTGATTTTTAGCTGATGAATACAAATAGTGTTGAAACTTCCTGATCTGTTGGAGGAGAGCAGTCAGTGGCCGTAGTTAGCTGGGCATAGTGTAGAGCTGTGCTGGCTCTTTCAGCCTTGGGGAAAACACTCCAGATTTCAGCGAGGAGCAGGGGGAATGAAAGCAAGCAGTGAATGCCTGAAAGTATGTGCAGACAGAGCAGCATGTTTTGGTTTAAGCTACTGGCTTCATTGGTGTGTTACTCTCTCCTGAAGATCAGGCTACACATGAGGTGACTTTTCTGATAGGAATTTGAGCCAGATTTAAGGAAACCTCTACGCTAAGGTTCAGGAATATGGAAGTGAAGGTATAGCAGGGCAGTCCCTGTGGGGCATTGGAATGGAGCCCCATCAATTCTGCCTGGGGTTGGGAGTGAGAAGCTTTCTGACAGTTGGAGGACTGAGGTTCTGGACTGGACAGAAGAGGGAAGGAGGTTTACAACCTTAAGGCTGTTTAATCAGCTTCTGGAAAGGACTGTGGTACGGTTTCCTCTGACAGCGGGGCGCTGGAACAAGGGATCCATCAGGTCCCGCTGCTGTCTTACTTGTTGTTTTTCTGTGCCAAATCCACACTGGAACGGGTCCACACTCGATCTCTGCCTGTTCATTGAGCAAGTGAGAACCCGTATGCAAGTCAGGATTGTTTCTGGCCCCGGTGTGCAGACAGAACCGGTGAAGTATAGGTTAAACACGGCAACAAAGATAAAAGACCAGATGAAAGCTGTCAGTGGTGTCCTAAATACATTTGAAACGGTGTCAGGTGAGCTCCTGAACCCAAACAAGTTTAATCTTTTCATTTATACGGCAGCCGCAGGCAGTAAGACGGCCAACTGAAACACTCCACAGCCTGACCGGTGGGAGGGTAGAGGCAGTGACCCTGCAGGAGGGGTCGTGGTGGTGCTGTTCATGTTTTGTTACTGTCTTGAACCAGATACCTCAGTGTACTTAACTCTTAGCTATATTTTTTTATATCCTCTTGAAAACTTTAAAAACCTTCCCCCCCCCCCCCATTCATTGACCTTTCCAGGGTTGTAAATGCAGAGTTTGTGATGAGGTTCTGTTTTCCCTGAGTGCAGCCTTGTTAGCGAAGGGTTCCCTCAGGCTCTTGAGAACGGTGTAGGCAGAGCTGTGAATTGTTGTAAGGAGTCTCCTGCCTGCGCAGAGGATATGTCAGGACAGGAAAGCACGTAGGGCGTCCCAACGTGCTGACAACGTTAGCGAGCTGCTGGGCTCGACTGACCCGGGGCAGCCTTTCTTCTTAATTTTCTATACTTTGACGTACTTTTTTTCCCCCTCCCTCTTTCTGCTTTGGAGCCCCAGCGAAATTTTAGGAAGATTAGATTGCAAGATGCTTAAAGCAGATGGTGTGAGTATCTCCTTTGGTCCCAGCTCTAAAGCAGGTGGTGAGTTGTCCTTTCCTTTTAAGAGAACCATTTGTATCCCCTGCAGCGAAGCTGGAAAAACGCGAGCAGAAATGTTCAGGATCTCCAGCTGTTTCTCAAGCTCTGGCCTGATCAAAAGCTCTCTGGAGGTGGGCAGCTCCGCGTGGACTTCTTGGGGCTCTAAACACCTGTTACCTTTTTTGCTCATGACTCTAAATGTAGAGCTCCCAGTTGGCTCAGATGTACAGGTTATTTTCTTGGCTTTTGGAATAACTGCTTACCTTTTTTCAGTGCTTTTGCCTTGTTTTATCTGCAGCTACCTTTTACTTACAGTTCCAGTGGATTGTGGAAAGAGCACGCAAAACCAGGCTTCACTACCGAGACCTAATTGGCTAATTTTCAGAATAATCTTTCAAGAGCTTTTGGGTTCGTTTTGTACCTATTGATTGGTTAAATTTGGGAGAAACCTAAATGTTAGATACCTTTTGGCTCTGGCAGAGGAGAAATGCTGAAAACCAATCTTATGGACTCCCACCGTGTTGCGTAACTTAATAGGGTAAAAGGCAGGAGTTAAGTATAACCAGGTGTTGAGTTGGAACTTAAAGGTGAGCAAGTGTAAAAGAGATGAATGGAGAATTTCTGTTGCGAAATCTGAAGTCATTAGGGCAACACAGGCCGCAGACGTGGTTGAAAGGTGACTTGGTGTATGTTCTGTGAGTTGATTCCAAGACGTGAAAGGGTTGGGAAACTCTGGAGCCCTTAAAGCAAACGTTTCTTGTCGCTTGCTCGCTGACATCTCCTCCAGGAAAGCTGTCAGATCTTTGAACTCTGGCTTCACAGGTAAGCAAAGGAGATCTGCAAAGGCAGTGTGATTTTCTGCGTTCCTTGCCAGAGTTGGAATGCTGCGTAGCTTTTAGCGAATAGTTGGAGACGCTGATGGTCGGGGCAGGAGTTGTCCCTGATTCAGGACAGGTAGTGCTTGGAGTGGGAATTTGCTATGGAAACTGTTGTACTTGGTGCTGACAAAGCAGTGGAACGTTTGGTTGTTGACAGTGCTCCTGAATGGGGTGGATGTGTTCTCATGGTTTGGGTTTATTTCTATTAATCTTTCTTTTAAAAACACAACGTAGGCACTTTGGATGCGAACTGTTGAACCAGCATCTTGTGCCAGCTGCGGAACAAAACGTACTCTGGGTGACTGTTCTGCTGTGGACGTAACTTGAGCGGGCTCTTTTTTTCCCTCATGTTTGAGGGGAAGAGGGATTGTGCACTGAATGGGAGCTGTCACTGGAATTGGGTCTGGGAAGATGATCAGAAAACTCACAGCTCCTGTGGGAAGTTTAGCAAATAGTTTTGAGCTTTCCACTGAAATATTTTCATACCATGTTTTGTTTGTTAGGATGTGACTGACCCACCGTTGTGCGTCTGGTTTTCAAACACGCTCCTTGAGGCAGCAGCTCTGTGTTGCTGTAGGCACATCTGGATTATTAGGTCAACTCTTCCTGGTTAAAGGTGCTTCAGTAGCTACGTGCTTTGCTTCCCATCACAGTGTTTGTCATTGCTTCAGAAAAATAATACTTTGAAAAACACGATGCTGAAGTTGGTTCCAGATCCTCATTTGCAGTTTCTTTGCTTCGTTTAGATTCGGGGCACGGACAAAAACAACGCGAGGGAGCTCCATATCGCGTATCGTTATGGAGAGCACTACGACAGCGTGAGGAGAATCAGTGACGATTCTGAAGCTCCAGCTTATCTTCAGATGGAGGTTGGTTAAGACCTGAGCCAGCTGTGGGTGATAAATAAAACAGACGAGTGTTGCCGGTTGATTTCCTTTCTCATTTGCATTGATACTGAGAAAAGAGTTTGGTCCCTGTGTGTTGCTGGGGACAGAAAAGCCCCTGAGGTCGTTGTGACTAGTGCTGCCTGTGCCCTTGAGACTGGCTGTGAAGTGTTTAAGTTACTGGGCTGGAAACCAGTCCCCAGTCTGATGCTGGGATGTGGGCTGTGGGTGTCTTGAAGCAACCCCATCTCAATGACACACGCGTGCACCTCAAATGCAGAAACGAAGGGAAGGGAGGAAGGAGCTGGAAATGCAGCAGCTGACACAAGAGTCCTCTCTCTTCATATCTCACTTTTTCATGTTCAGGAGTGAGCTGTGCTGTCCCTGGGGTTCTCTGCCCACAGCTGTGTGATGTGTGGCGTTGTGAAAGAAATTAAGCCCGCACTTCAAAAGCCGGTGACCCTTTATTGGTGAGCGTGACCTTGTAGTACGGGAGAGCTCGCTCAGTAGCGTAGGAGTCGTGGGAAACGGTGTCAGTGATGATGGAAGTTACACAATTTCCAAGATGCTTTAACACAGGATATTTCTGAGAAAAGTGTGCCGTAGTAATTGCATTTATGATGATGTCAGATATTTTCTTTTTTTTTTTACTGTATGTGACAAAATGGCCGCATGGGCTTGTGCGATCCGCTGGGCTCTGCTTTTCTGGCAGATGCTTTGCAAAAATGGTTCGAATAAGGAGGAGGGAGTGAAGCCTCAGAAGGTTGACTCTGGAGATGAGATTGAAGTGGAAGTGGAAGATGCTGTACAAAAAGTGTGTAACGCAACTGGGTGCTCAGTAAGTGTTGAGTGCGTCTTTGTGCTTAATGTTCAAACCTTCTTGATGCACGGAAGGAGCCTTGACAAAAATTCTAAAAAATACTCGTCTTGGACAAGTTCAGCACCACAGCCATAAATCAGGATGCATTGCAGCCTAGACTCAGCCCTTAAATGCAGGTGAAATATGTACTCCGTGTGGATACCTAATAATTTTGGAAGGCCTGCCTTGCAGCCTCTGAGAAAATGTCTCCGGAATTCTGTAAGGTTTGCAGTCCTTCGGGGATGTCTGTAGCTGAACATCCCGAATGACTAGAGAGTCTGTGACCCCTCGCTGCTGTCACTGGGTAGCCTGGGCGGTTCCTGCGGATTGCTGCTCGCACTGCGCCAGGGCGCGGAACAGAGCAGGCCGAGAGTGAAGCAGTTACGCTGAAACAGCGTGTTCATTTTTCCTGATGTCTTCAAGATGTTGAGATTTTTCTCCCTCACCTTTTTCAGAAATAGAATACAGGCCCATAGGAAAGCAGACAGCAGCCCCCTCTCCGCGGTGCTGGTGGCTCTTGAATGAGTGTGTGCCGGTGGTTTGAGCTCTCTTCAGTGGTATCTCTCTCCTCTTGTGGACAGGATGCGGATTTAGTAAGCCGGATTCTGGAAGTGGAAGACTATGACGTAGAATCAGCAATATTTGCCCTCATTCAAGTAAATGAAGCGGAAAGAACTGGTGAGTACCTGGAGGTTGTCACCTGGTACTTCAGACCGCTGCCTGTTGGTGTTGGCTGCAAACAGCAGCTCGGCGGGGACGGCAGCTTGCTGTTGGCTCTGCTGCCGCCTCAGCCTTTCTGTGCTCGGGGGGGCGATTAGCGAGGGCAAGTTCGACCCAGCTTCTAAAAAAACCCACTCCTCCAGAAATTCTGGAAGAAGGAATTGGCTGGCAGTGAGACAGCTTCTGGGTAGAGCGTGTCACCTCTGTCGTTGGTAGGTCCTGAGGAGCAGCGTGATCCCCAGAGCGAGGACCGGGAGTCGTGTAGCAGAACTCTGCGGGAAGAAAACGGAAGCGATTCAAGAACCTGTGGACATCAGAGCTCACGTCAAGGTGAAACAGAAAACAGCAAAGGACGGGCTAGATCCGGTGGAGAGAATCGAGCTAGCCGAAACCCAAAGGTGCGTGAAGGTGGTTTGGCAGGTTTGCTCAGCCTTTAACGATTAGGGGAATGCTAAGGATTGCTTAATGAGCAACTGTCTTCTCCTTGGAATTAAAAAGAGCTTCCGCCTACTGGATTTTGTTGCCGCTACAGCAGCGACTTCTCTGATACAAACACTTAATAGTGACATGTGGCACTCGTCCCGAAATGACACACAATAAAGTCCTGATAAGTAGTTTGGAGTAAACATTGTCTGGCAGCTGCTGTGATACCTGCCTGTCTCCTTTCCAGTGTGTTATTCTTCCTCAGCAGAGCAGAGCACGTGTGTGTTTGACTTTGTGTGTTCATCCTTCCCTTTCAGGGAAAACAGAAGAAGGATCAGCAGCGGCTAAACAAGAAGAAGTGGCAGGAAGAAAGGCACCGACAGAAGGTCTTGGCCAGCCAGGGTAACTGCGCAGGTAGCAGCAGGAGGGAGACGGACTCAAACAGCCGTGTCACCTTGGTGAAGGCCATGGCAGCTCTGAACATATGACTGAACGTGTGCCGAGGGCTCCGGTGAGAAAAGCAAATAAAACCGATGAAGACAAAATTCCCTTAAGCAATATCTGAGCACCCACTGTTACCTTAAAATCCGTTTCTCCGGAAAGCTCTAAGCCCACATGAACTCCCTGTTTCTTCGGCTGTGGGGCGAGCAGTTGCTGGGTAATTCTGCGTCGACCTGTGTGTGAGAAGAGTTTGAACTTAACAGAATGTAGAGACTTGGGTTTATAATTTTGGAGTTAAATGAAGGTGAGAACCTTTCCTTCACACAGCAGTCTCAGGTTTGCTCTGCAATCTCTTGATGTGCTTAGATGACTTTTTTTTTAATAGCAACTTTTTACTTGGTTTTGCTTGGAGGAGCTTTATTTTACCTTGCTGTCAGGGAAAGCTTAACAGTTCTCAACTCAGGAACGTATTTTGGGGGTTTTTTTCTATTTAAATTTAAACAAAGTGAACAGAATCCCAGAATCCTTTCCAAAGCAGAATGTGTCAGCCAACAGTGTATCAAACACTACATTCCTCTCTTCTTTCCCGTGCAAGGATGCAGTGATCAGTTTTAATCCAAGTAGAACTGCTTGTGTTGCCCTAGGCTGTTTCAGAGGTCATTAATACATGAAGGGAGAACGGCATTGCTGCATCCATGCTTGCTTCTTGCTCAGGTTTGAGATCAGCTCGTTTGCTAGCTGTAGAGTTACTAAAGAAATAGAAGTGACACCAGTGGTGTCACTCGTGAGCCAGCAGAGCCAATTCATCTGATCCAGGGAAGTCTAATGAAGTTGTAAAGCGCAACGTGAGCGGGTGTGAGATTCCCGTTGAGTGTTGTTACGTGGACATCTGGAATCTCATTGCCTTTGCCATACTCTGGAGCTTTTGGGCTACTCCAGGCCTTTAGCCCAAGCCAGGAACTTGATAGTTGTTTGTCTCCAAATGAGATTCGTGTAGCCAAAGGATTAAGAGTCCTGGGAACAAGCTTCCAAGTAGCAGCCATCAGTGGGAACCCTGCCTGCTTCACTCTTCGTTAATCAATCTTTTTCCAGGGTAGGATTTTTTTTGTCTTAAATTCCTCTTCGGTGAGGTCACCAAGTACCGCAGAATGTACAGCTTGAGTCCCCTGGTGCTGTTCACTGTAGGTTGTGAATTTGGACTGAAGCGGAAGGACGGTGGGACTTGGCCCTCGATTTGGGGCTCGCAGCGTTTCAGCTGTGCTCAGGGTTTTGGACTTGTATCCAGCACTAAGCTCGAAGAAAGCACGTGTGCACTTACACACACGGTGGGTAACAGGAGGCGCCTCATCAGCCAGGGCAGAGGTTTTTGGAAAGTAAGGAACGTTGCTTTGAAAAAACTCTGTGTTCTTTGAAGTTTCCAAATTGGCACGGAAATATAACTGCCTGAACTGCCAAGATCTGGGCTCGTACTTGTGTGTGTGCCCTGCTACTGTTTGTCAAGAGCATTTGAAGAATAAAAAGAAAGGAGCTCTGCTTTCGCTGCTCGTGCTGTAGGAGAACTGGCTTTAATGCTGGTGAAGACATTTCCTTTGGCTCCTGTAATGAGCTTGGTCAGGATAAAAAGTTACAGAGAGCAGCTCTGACGCTTTGTGGTGGGACATGGTGCCTGGCAAGTGCAGCAGTGCTGCTCGAGGTGCCGGTGGTCGGCCTGGGTGTAACTGCTGCAGAGGGAGGTCAGGAGGATTTCATAGGTAGGAAGAGCACGGATGAGCCTTGAACTCACAGTGCTGCTCTTAAAGTGAAAAGTGACTTTGGGAAGTGCCATTGGATACCAGCTTTGGATAGCCTGTTGTTAGCAGCGTGGCTTCCTGGAATTCTTTTTCCCC